TGAGGTGGGTTTTGTGGGTTTGAGCAAGAAAAAATAACAAATCCAAGACCTAGAAGCCGACCCACAAATCCATTTTATGCATTTCGAGTTATACATACATATATAAGGAGATAGAGCAAGAAAAAATTACACAAAAACGAGATTCTAACAATACACTCCAAATCTACATGCATACATTTATATATATATATATATAGAGAGAGAGGGAGAGAGAGACAAACATACACATACAAAGAGATAAAAAAAAAAGCAAAATGAAGAAAAATTAGAACCAAGGAATGAACACGAGAATTTCTGAGTCTGATTTGCGCTTAAAGTTATGGTTTTTGTGTTGTTATATATATATGTGTAGACGCGCCCGCGTGGGCCTCATGCTACAGTTCGGACTCGATTTGTGTCATGGTTCTTAATCTGAACCAAAGAGTCCAAATCTGGCAAATCGTTTTGAGAAACAGATTTTTGAAAAAGTAGTGCCAAACATGGACTGCTTTGCCAGATACAGAGTCGCCACCTAAATATTTTATTTTGGGAGAATTTAGGAGAGAGAAATGCGATGATGAAATGGGTTTGAAATTTTACGTGGTGTAAAGAGAGCAAGAGATTGAAATGGGCTTGACATGTTTTGAAATATTTTCAACTTTAGTCAACGGCTGGTCAACGGCTCAGTCAACGGCGCAGGCGGCGCGGTCAACGGAGGATCGGCGGCGCGGTCAACGGCTTGACGGCTGGTCAACGCGGCTGGTCAGCGGCTCAGGCTGACTGGGCAGGGCACGTGTCCGACACATGGCTGACACGTGGCTGACGTGTCGGCTGACAAATGCCTTGCTCAATCCAGACTGTGACAGCATACACCGGACTTTCTCCACCAAAGTGCGGTTCATGCGTTCGGCAACTCCATTCTGCTGCGGTGTTCTAGGAACTGTGAAATGTCTCACTATCCCTGCATTCTGGCAAACCTCAAAGAAGGGATCTGATGTATATTCTCCACCATTGTCAGATCTGAGCTTCTTGATCCGTCTGCCTGTCTGGGTCTCAATCATCTTCTTCCACGTAAGAAAGATGTCTAAGACTTCATCTTTGTGTTTCATTGTATAAATCCAAACTCTTCTAGAGAAATCATCAATGAACGACACAAAGTAGTGTTTACCTCCCAACGAAGCAGTCTTGGAAGGACCCCGTACGTCGGTGTGGACGTAGTCTAGAATCCCTTTGGTACGGTGAATTGCAGTACCAAACTTGATTCTTGTTTGCTTGCCCAATACACAATGCTTGCAGAACTCAAGCTTCCCCGTCTTGGCGCCTTTCAACAGGCCTTGCTTTACCAACCCTTGTAAAGCCTTCTCACCGACATGCCCTAGGCGCATGTGCCAAAGTTTGGAAGTGTCTGATGCATCATCTTCTGAGCTGGTGGAGACAGCCACTCTTCCTGTGACTGTAGAGCCATCTAGGAAATATAAGTTTCCCTGTCGAGTACCCTTCATTGCAACCAATGCTCCTCGAACAACTTTAAGGACTCCACCTTCCATGGTTATTCTGTAACCTTTGGAGTCTAAAACTCCTACTGAGATGAGATTCTTGGTTAGATCTGGTACATACCGTACATCTTCAAGAATTCTGATTGTTCCATCATGGCTCTTCAGTTTAATTGTTCCAATCCCCTTTGTCTGGCAAGCTTGGTTGTTGCCCATCAGCACAACTCCTCCATCGAACTCTCGTAAGCTCGAGAACCACTGCTTGTTAGGACACATATGGAATGAACATCCGGAATCTATTATCCATTCATCCGACTGGCCATATGATGAAACTGTGAAGGCTCCTCCTTCATCATTATCTCCATCTCGTGCAATATTCACCTTCTCTTCTGTCTTGTCTTTATTTGGACAATCTTTTGCCCAATGTCCCTTCTCGTGACAAGCTGCACACTCGTATTTTGCAAGACGTCTTTTGTCTGAAGGTTTCCCCCTAGATTTTGAGCGAGACTTTCCTCGCCTTGTATTTCTTCTGTTATTTGTTCTGCCTCTGACTGTTAATGCCTCGGATGTTGAGTCCCTGTTTGCAGACTTATCTTTCCTTCTGAACTCATTGTTCACCAAGGCGTTTGCAACATCAATATACTTGATCTTCTCTTTACCGTACAGTAAAGTAGTAGTGAGATGATCATACGAGTCAGGCAAGGAATTTAACAATAACAGTGCTTTGTCTTCATCACCAACGTCATCATCCAAATTCTTCAAATCCGTAATAATTTTGTTGAAATTATTTAGGTGTTCGTTCATCGAAATACCTTTAATGTAGTCGAAACGAAACGACCTCTTCCTCAAGTAGAGCCGGTTCTCAATGCTCTTTATCATGAACTTATCTTCCAGCGCCTTCCAAAGCTTCTTCGCAATATCATATTCTGTAAAGGCATACTTCTCCTCTTTTGCAAGGCAAAGTCGGATGGAACTGCAAGCCAGGAGATTCACCCTCTCCCATTCTATCTCGTCCAGGTCATCTGGTTTGTCTCCCAGAGTGAAGTGCAGGTTCATTTGGACAAGCATATCCTTAACTTCGCATCTCCACATGCCGAAGTTGCTTCTTCCATCAAACTTCTCTACCTCGAACTTGGCATGGGACACCGGGGTCCAATGCCTAGAAGTGCTTGTACTGGCTGAATTACTTACGGACTCGGTTGCTCTAGATTCTGCCATTTTTTCGAAACTTCAATTCAAAAAACTGACCGTACAGATGTGTCCGGAATACTCCAAATAGTTGGGAAGCACTATTGGATCGTCAAAAACGGACTCCGAATGGCTCCGATCTGGCAAAAACACTTTCGACGGGTCAGATCTGCAGAATCTGGTGCGCTGAGATGCACCGGATAATTTCTCCGGTCAACGGCTGGTCAACGGCTCGGTCAACGGCGCAGGCGGCGCGGTCAACGCGGCTCCGGCTCAACGGCTCGGCTTGGTCAGCGGCTCAGGCTGACTGGGCAGGGCACGTGTCCGACACGTGGCTGACACGTGGCTGACGTGTCGGCTGACTAGGTCGTCTTCTTCACTGAGCGGCGCATGGGGCGCGGCTGACACGTGTCTGACACGTGGCCTGACTGTCGGACGCGTGGCGATGACGGTGGCGATGACGTGGCGCTGACGCGGCACTGACGTGGCGCCACGTGGCTCGTCTTCTTCCTGGGAGACGCGCGTGTGGCGCGTGGGTGAGATTGGATATCACGCGCCGGTGCCTGAACGGCGCGTGGTGGCGCGTGGTGCGACTGGGGCTGACGCGCTTTGTGCAGAGAGCGCGTGAGGGCGCGTGTGTAGGCTTCTTGGCTCTGTTTTTGCTGTTCTGGACTCCTCTCGGGGAGTTCTTCCTCCTGGTATGGTCAAAAGTGGATTTTGAGCACTTCAAAATCTGGGCACTTTCGGGAAAAGTTGATTTTTTCGCAACCCGAGCTCTGATACCAATTGTTGAGGATCGGGGGCACACCAGGGAACTCAAACAAGCAATAACACACAAGTTTTAACGTGGTTCGGCAAGTCGCCTACGTCCACAGGCAGCAGATTCATTATATTGAACAAAATTGTAAGAATTACAACACTCTCTGTAATTCTCTCTCTCTTTGCTCTCAACTCACACCTCTCAGCTCCAAATCTAATGCTCTATATCCTCTCCCTCCCGTCTCTATTTATACACAAAGGAGTAGGTGGGAGAGCCTTCATTCTTGACTTTTGACATGGTTGGTGGCCACCAAGCTTGACTTGGTTGGTTGCCTTGGTTGGTTGCCTTCCATTGTTGACATGAGGATCACCCCTTTCACATGGGGTGACCTCCAGAATCTGTAGCCAATATTCAACAAACACCAGTCTGATACGGTCGATTTGTGCATAATAATCATCTCACAATAACACGATACACCATCTGCGTTGTGCAAGTATCCATTTGCATTACAAATTACACAGCAAAACCACCACAATCTACCACCAAAAAAAACAACAGCGACAGACCATTGCCACTAGTAATGAACTCAAACAAAAATCAAACCATTACAAACAAAAATGACGCCATGGTACATTTGGATGTACCATACATCAGTTATGACACTACAGGGAAAGATGGCTATTGCAACGCTTCTTTTATGGCGTTTATGAAAAACGCCATTATAGATTATTTAAATACAACGTTTTTAAAAACGTTGTATCAGATCTCAGTAAAACGGCATCGTTTGGGTCAACTTGTGAACACCGTTCAATGCTCCGTCCCTTTCAAAGCGTCTCTCCGTCAGTCTCACTCTTGTCTCCCTCTCAGTCTCACTTTCTAAACTCAGATTCTCTCTCGCTCAGAAACCCTTTCGATTTGAAGCTCAAAAACTCCCCACTCTCACTGATTTGAAACGCTCGATTTCAACCAATCTTTCTCGCTAGGGAAGAAGATGATAAGGTGGCAGACCATGTTGGTGAAGAGGTGGATAATGGGGATAAGGTGGTTATAGGGGAGAGGGAGGTGGCTCATGTCAATACAAATGACATGGAGGGGGAAGCAAGCTTGAGAGATGTTTCGGTGGTAGAGGAGACGGAGCTGATGATGGGAGTGTCAGAGGAAGGCGCTGTATGTGAGGAGGGCTCTGTAAGGAGGCTCTATACAGGGGTGTCAAAGGAGGGTGGCGTACGCAAGGGAGGTAACCATAAAGCTAATGATGAGGTGGTCACTCCTAGGTTTATAAGAAGTATGAGTGGGTCTGTAGGGTAGAAACAAGGCATTAACTTGGAGGTGGACTTAAACAGGACCCAAGTGGATGTAAAGGGGATGAGTCAGCCCAAAGGGCTACAAAATCAGATCTCTGGGCTGAGTCTAGCAATCACCATATTAGAGTCTCTGCTATTGGGGTAGGGCAGCCCAATTCTATGCCAAGTTAGCTGGGCACAACCCTTATTAATAAGCAGTGTTTGCAGGAGAAATGAGAGGAAAATCGACGCCACAAACTGCGAAGGAAGGGAAAGTCTGAAGTGGGGAAGAAATCTATGAAGAAAGCACTCAATCTGAGGAAAGGGAGTGTTTTCAGGTCTACCGTAGCTGCTATTTCACTATCCATGGCAAGTAAATCTAGTAGAGGAGGCTTACGTTTATCAGAAGAAGAAGCAGCCATCCAAATTGGTAAAGTGCTGGGGGTAGCTTGTGATGGCAAAGAGGAGGAGGTGATTAGCAAGCTAGAGGAATTGGAGGCCACAGATAAAGGAAAAGAGGTGAGAATGGGAGCTGATATGCATTGAGAACTAAGCTCAGGGAGTTTTTGAGTGAAACATCTTTTGTAATGAAGATACAATCTTGGAATATTAGAGGTCTTGGCAGACCAAAGAAAATGAGAAAAATCAAACAAAGTTTGGCAGCAAGGAAAATCAAATTTGTGATACTTCATGAAACAAAGAGATCATCAATTACCGAAATAGTAAAGTCTCTCTGGTATGAAGATAATTTTGAGTATCTGGCAGTGGACTCGGAAGGAAGAGCTGGTGGGTTGCTATGTATTTGGAATATAGGGGTGTTTCAATTGGATGCTTGCTGTGGAAACCGTCATTTTATCCTACTGTCAGGTAAATTATTTTCCTCTTTTAATTGTGTGATTGTCAATGTATATGGTCCAACAGATGTGGTGAAAAGGAAAGAATTATGGGTCACTTTAGCTTGGTTAAAGAGTGTTCTTGGGGCCATGCTGTATGGAAGGTGATTTCAACGAAATAAGGAATATTGGTGAACGTATTGGGTGTTCTAAAAGAGATAGAGGAATGAGGGATTTTAATGACTTGGTAGAACAATTGGAGTTGATTGATTTACATATGTTTGGGAGGAAATTTACTTGGTGTAACTCACAAACAAGACAGAAATCGAGCAGAATAGACAAATTTTTACTCAATTATGAGTGGTTACAAAATTTCAACCTCAAGTTATGGGGACTTCTTAGATTGATATCTGACCATTGTCCTATCTGATGGAAGATGAAAGAGATTGGAGCCCTAGACCTTTTCGATTTCTGAATGCTTGGGTTCTTCATCCTAAATTTGTAGATTTAGTAGAGAAATTTTGGTCAGATTTCCAGGTGGAAGGTTGGGCTGGCTACAGATGTATTATGAAGTTCAAAACCTTGAAACACAAATTAAAGGTGTGGAACATTAAAGAGTTTGGGAAGCTTGAGTCTAAGCTTAAGGCTACCGAAGAGGAAGCCCATGCTATAAAGCTAATTGCTGAAGAAAGGTCACTTTAGGGGGTTGAACAAGCTAGAAGAAAGGAAGTAATGAATGACATTTGGAGGTTAAACAAAATGTTGGAATGGACTTGGCTCCAAAAATTCAGAATCAATTGGGCCTCAAAAGGACATAGAAATACGAGGTACTTTCGCATTATGGCGTCTAAGAGAAATAGCAGGAATTCCTTGTGTTCAGTTATGGTGAATGGCTCAATGGTGGAAGAACCTTTAGAGGTCAGGCATGAGGTGAAGTCTCATTTCATGAATCAGTTTTTGAATCTTGGGTGACTAGGCCTAAACTGTTTGGCCAGTTCAAAAATATTGGAGGTCGTTATGCAGTAGATCTGTTGGAAGCAGATTTTACAAAAGAGGAAGTTAGAAATGTTATCAAGAGCAGTGATGGCAATAAAGCACCTGGGCCTGATGGGTTTATTTTGGCCTCTTTCAAGAAATGTTGGACAATAGTCAAACCTGAGGTAATGCAATTCTTAAGAGAGTTCCATCAAAATGCCTCATTGCTTAGTGGTTTAAATAGCTCTTTTATGGCCCTAATCCCAAAAATAGATAGCCCATCAAGCTTGAGGGATTATAGGCCTATAAGCATCATTGGTTCCTTGTACAAAATTCTAGCTAAAGTCTTAGCAAATAGGATGAAACAAGTGATGCCAATGATTATTAGCGAGGCACAATCCGCATTTCTTGGGGGAAGGAATATCCTAGATGGGATCCTCATTGCAAACGAGATAGTTGACGGGTGGAGAAAATCAAAGAAGAAAGGTTTGGCGTTGAAATTAGATTTTGAGAAGGCATATGATTCAGTCAATTGGGATTTCTTATTCAATATGTCATCTAATTTTGGATTTGGGGATAGATGGGTGAGATGGATGAAAAGCTGTGTAACTTCCACAAAAGTGTCAGTTTTAGTGAATGGTTCTCCTACTATTGAGTTTTGCCCAGAGAGAGGTCTATGGCAAGGTGACCCACTATCCCCTTTTCTCTTCAATATTGTGTCCGAAGGGTTGAATATCTTGTTTGACAGGCCAAGGAAATGGGTTTGATCAAAGGGGTTGTCATTGGGAACAATGGGGTCACAATAATGCATCTGCAATTTGCAGATGATACAATACTGTTTTGTGAAGCTGAGTGGGTGGAAGTGGTGACCATCAAACGAATTCTTAGGTGTTTTGAAATCCTCTCGGGGTTGAAAATAAATTATCATAAGAGTGTTATCTGTGGTGTTGGAGTTGATGATGGACTATTGCATGAATTTGCCTCCAACCTAAATTGCCTTCACCAGAAGCTGCCTATAATGTATTTGGGATTGCCATTGGGGGTCAACCCAAGTAGGAGAAATACTTGGAAACTTGTTCTTGTCAAATTCAAGCAGAAACTGGCCAACTAGAAGAGAAGACTCCTTTGTTTTGCTGGGAGATTAACCTTAATCAAGTCTATTATGTCTAATTTACCTATCTATTATTTATCATTGTTCAAGATTCCTGTAGGGATGGCTAAGGAGATTGAGAAGTTTGAATCAGCTTTCCTGTGGGGTGGATCAGATCTCAG